CGACCTCTGCACGCGGGACTCTTTGACAATGTGATAGCGATGCTTAAGATAACTACTTGTTACATCACCGCAAAAGCACCGGATAAGAATATATTATGTGCTGCATGCACATTATGGGTTGGTGTTTCATTAAATAATACCTTGAGGCTTTTAATTTTAAAATTTGGGCGTCATTTGCTTTCATTTTGTTGGAATTACAATGGGCAAAGTGCGTTGCGGCTTGCACATTCTTATTGAATCGACATAGAGGTGAAGGCGTTATAGATTGTATCATTTCTTGTGATGAAAAATTTATTGTTTATGATAATCGCAAAGGATCAACGGGGCCTGCCGACAAGCTCAATTTACTTTTTTGGTATCAAAAAAGAAAATTATCCACAGAACATTGTCGGTAACTGTGAATCCTTGGATCTGGTGAAACTATTCGCCATTGTGAAGAATTGCGGACGGAACTGAACTCCATCGCTCCATTTAAATGATCACGCTAAGAGCGCATAAAACCGAACAAAACCATTGTCATCTCGCAGGAGTGGCAAATTGAAGCTCTTCGCTAACCTAAACTCAATCGGATTTATTCCCTACATTTTAAATTTAAATTATCTACAATTTCGAAAATGAGTTCAAAAAACTCTCACCCCGCTATTTGACCTCAAAGAAATAAATGAGCTTCCAGCAAGATATAGTAGACAAACACGAATCTGCCTATAAAAAAAAAGCAAACAGGTATTGTTTACCTTGATGGTCTTGTCCCGGGAGGCCGTGGCGAGCCAGGGCTGCTGCGGGTGCCAGTCGCACGCGAAGACGGGTCCCGAGTGCGCGGTGAACTGCGCCAGCGGCCGCTCGTGCCGCCGCACGTCCCACACCTGTACGGCGCCGTTCTCCGACACCGCCGCGAACGTGTGCGCTGTGTGCGGGCTGAACTGCACGTCGCGGATCGACTCCGTATTGCTGCGCGGGTCAGTTATGTTTCAAATTATGTACTTGTAGAACCATTTACTCTTCGTATGCATCTAACTTAAATTCAGCTATAACCACGCCCGTCGCCGCGTTTCCGTACGGGGTCGTATGATGTCCAGCGAAAAAAAGTCCACCTTATTTGGGACCTGTTCAAATAGTGAATACTCCCTTCAATTATGTTAAACACAATTCTAACAAATACGATGGTCATATCATAACACTTCATTTACCGAATTTTCTGCATCCTGTTGGTTCGAATGTGTGTCCATTCCACATCATAAAAATAAAGTATCAAATGATTTGTAAAATTATATTATTCAATTAAAAACAGTTGAGTTTCATTCATAGTGTCTCCAGACACAATGTTAAATGTCGACAGATAGGGCTTTGGTAGCAACGATGTAGGTATAGTTTCCATAATGCAATGCCCGGTTTATCAATCTGCAGTGAACCATTAAAATTCTGCAAGTGATGTTCAAATACATTCTGCTTTCTTGATAGCCACCAACCATCTGTCGACTATGTACACATTAAGTTATTTGAGTTAATTTTAGTGTAGGTCCATCTTTCCTATTATACCATGAAGAAACTAGGTTTTTTGGCACTCTTGGGATCAAATACTACACGCTGAGTAATTTGGTTTTAATTTGTAAGTAGAGGAAGAGAGTGAAATTTACAAGAGATTCTAAAAGTTTTTACTTGGCATACAATTTTGCAAGCCATCAAAATCAATAGCAATTTTTATTATATTGAAGGTAACAACACAATACCTAATGAAAGTCCTGGCAACCTCCTTCATGCGCAGGTCGAAGCACTTCATCATACCATCCTGAGAGCCAGAGATGAGTAAAGCCGGCTCCGTCAGGTGGAAGCTCACCTAACACATCATACAAGCTTAATAACATAATAAGTTATTTTTAATTCCCATATACATATGAGTGCTGCTAAACAAGTAAAACCGTTTAAATAAGTAATTAGTTATTATATTATTAATTTATTATATTATTAGAAAAAGTGTTGTAGGTTTAAAGCTAGTTAACACAGTTTTTAGTAGCAGTAAGTACTTGCGAAAGACTGTCCAGGGAAGTACGGCCACCTTACCTATTTCTGCCGCCAAGCAGTAGTGTGAGCATTCATGCATTCTGGTTTGGGAGGGTAAGGTTCATGGTGAAATAACAGGCACATAGGACTTGTCAACTTATGTATCAGGGTGATAGGCGCAGTGGCCAGTGACCTTTGCGATTTAAGGCTTTGAGTGGCGTTGCAACTGTTATGGATAGGCGTGTCGCTTATCGCCAAAGCACAGCACATTCGACCCGTCACTTGGTGTTATAAAAAGATAATAAAACCTTATTGACGGTCCTCTTATGGTCAGAAAAGACATGTTCCTGCTTGGAGCGCCCGGAGCGGCCAAGGTTCCAAACGACCACGGCACCGTTGGTGGCTGCCGTGGCCAGCGTGTTCTCCTCGATACTGCTCCATGCGACGTCGATCGAAGAGAAGTTAAGATTTAGGTTTTTGCCTACTCGCAAGTTGCACACTTCCGTGAATTCGTTCTCGCCGATTGAGAACACTTTGAAAACTGAAAAAATATTGCAGATTAATTTCACCTTACGACGGTTTCGAATTAAATATGAAGGTAGGCAAAAGGTACTACTTATTTACCGTTTCGACCGGCGATGACGACTTGTGTACAGTCCTTGTTGAGGGCCAGCGCGTTCGCCGGGCCCTCCTGCGACACGCAGATTGTATTTGAAGAATTCATTGTGGTTTAATTCCCGTTACACCGCTACTTATTAATTACGAAACATTGAAATTGAAGTGCATAACAATTGTTAGTGTTTTAATTACGACCCATTTTGTTTGTTTACTAATGTTGAGGCACTCAACGCGGGCCCAACCGATGACTGATGCTAAGATAAACGTGTTAGTCCCGCGGTATAAATATTTTCAAATAAATTAAAATACACAATAAAGTCAACACGTCGGAAAACAACAATTGAAATATTTTATTTTTTAATTTACTTTGACATAAATCAAGCAACAAGTTTGAAACCGTACAGCCACATTACCTGCGTGTAATATAATTTATGTTCAGAAGGTACGTTTTCCGAGTCTAATTTCTTTGTGCCTAACATGATGGTGTTCTGATACAATGTATCTGATAAACCTGAAAATTATATTAGAGAAGAAAATATATTCTTAATATTGAGGCCTAATTTTTTTTTTTCTTAGATGATCGCTAATAAATAGGCTGAATACTTTATTGACGAGTAATAAATTAACGCGAAAAAAATAGTTATGTCATTAACGTCAAACCGCAGACGTCAAAGTGGATAGAAATAGATTTCTCTCGTAATTTTTCGGTAAAATTTAACGAATGCCGTGTATTAGCTACACGACTAATGTACGCCTTATTACTGAAAAGTGTATTTTGTTAGTATGTGAGACGGGTGAGGGTGTTGATTGAAAAAGTCGCCGAGGGTCGGTGTTTTAGTAACAATGGATGGTGGGGACAGGATCCTGGTGGCAGCAGGGCTGACAGCAGCTGTGGTGGTCGGTGCGTTCGTGCTGTGGGGTCCCGGAGGCGCGCCACGCGTACGCAAGCGCCGTGGACAAATCGCCGGTCTGCAAAACCTTGGCCGCACCTGCTTCCTCAACACTTTGCTTCAAGCGCTCGCTGCTTGCCCCATTTTTATCGACTGGCTGAAGCGATTTGCAAAGGCAGACAGCAATAATAGTATGATTACTACGCTGTATACTGTGATCGAAGGTTGGTGTAATTTTCTGTTCATTATTCATGGTGATAAATTCACCAATCAATTTGTTTATTTTCTATTTAAAGCAGTTAAGTTGTGCCAGTTCTACCAATTCTGTTATTTTATTCAGTTACATAAATACAAATTTATTGAATAACATATTGTATAGTGGTAAATGGAACACATGAATCTGCACGTGGCACGCCAGTGTGTCCACTGGGTGTGCTGCAAGCATTGCGCGCCGCGGGATGGGTGGTGCCGGCTGATCAGCAGGATGCACATGAACTCATGCATGTGTTGCTTTCTTGCATCGAAGAAGAAACCACTGCAATGGCACGGAAGGTAAGTGAAACTGTTGCAAAAAAAATTACAGATATCACAGTAGTCAAAATAAATATAACAGTAAAGCTTTGCCTGCTTGCTTTCACCCTGAGACATAAGTTGACAAGTCCCAAGTGCCCGTAATTTCACCAGAACCCTTACCCTTCAAAACTGGAACACAGTAATGCTGACATTACTGCTTGGTGGCAGAAAGCTGTGATCATGGGACCTGTATAGGGCCCAAAACATTGGTTTGTTTGAAGAAAAAATATATGTGATTTAGATCCAAAAAAATTGTTTCGTTTCCTAAATATTAGAGCAGTTTTCCAGAAAAAATTGTAGCCTTCACTTACTACAATATTATTATTGTTATATACAGATTTTTTGTTATAATTTAAATAGTGACATATAGTATAAAGTATATATACAAGGAAGGTATATACAATATTGGGTGTAGCCTGGCTGCCTGTCAGACGCGCTGGGCCTAGGTGGTGGCCGCGCGTGGTCTGCTCTGGCTTCGCCCGCGTCGCCGCCTGCTGTGCCCCACCCGCTACGGTCCGATTCCACGCCGCCAACGCCGTCTAGTCTGGCGCTCCGCCCTGCCTCCGCTGCGCCCGCCGATGAGCCTGACTTGGTCGACCCAGGTCTTTTTCTCTTTTACTAATAGCCTAATGTAATGACAATTTACACAACTATTAATTGGAGTGGCTCATCTAAATTGAGGCATTGCGGCCCCGAGCAGAGCCGGCGGAGCCGCCTCGTCTTACGAAGGGCGTGTCGCGGTCGTTCTGCCATTTGAGCTCAGTGGGGAGGCGTTGGGTGCCGGCGGCGGCGGCGCGCGTCGCGCCCGTCACGCCCTTCCGAGGCACGCTAGCCTCGCGACTGCAGTGCACCGTCTGCTCCACCAAGGTAACTTTAACGTCGACTAATACAAATTTCCTACCAGTTGTTAATGCCACAGCAAAACGGACACAAATGCATGTAACAAAATTGATCCTTGTTTTAGAGCCCAGTGCGGTACGACAAATTTGACAGCGTCTCGCTGTCAATGGCGAACGCGGGCGTCGGCCTTACGGGTTCGTACAGCTTGGCAGGTAATGTTCTTACATACATGTTAGTTTTTCACATATTGAGAGTTGTATTGTATTGACCGTTGGTCGATATGTTGATGCGGGGTAGGGTTGCTGCGCGCGTTCACGGCGCCGGAGATGGTGAAGGGCGTGCGCTGCAGCAAGTGCTGCGCAGAGTCGCCGCCCACTGAGGGCGCTGCGCCGCAGCCCAGGGACGGCCCCGGAGCTTACACCCAGCATATACGGACCGTCAGTTTCGGCAAGGTACGATTCAGGTTGAGGTGAAATGTAGCGGGCTCCCCTTCACGGAGGCATGTCGTCTCCTATTGCCAAATGTAAAAATACCTGTTGGCGACGCTTGTCTAAAGAGTATTAAATAGAGGGAGAAAAGGGAAGAAAATGAAAATCCTTTGGGATCGTACGGTACATATTTTGTCCAGGATTACACAATGACAATTAAAGAACAAAAACAAAACGTCAAAAAGACCAAATATAAAGGATTTTTTTAAATATGAAAAGGTTGCTGCAAAAAGCAGCTCGTCGAGCCGTTGGTCTCCCACATGCTTTGTCCCAAAGGCGTAAAACTGCCGTGGCTTGCAGCTCCCGCAGTGCCTGTGCCTGCACGTGGGGCGCGTGGAGTGGGCGGGCGGCGCCCTCAGCAAGCGCGCCGAGCACGTGGCCTTCCCCGAGACGCTCTCCCTGGCGCCCTTCGCCTCGCAGGCCTCCAACAAGGTGCGGTGCTGAACAGTACGGTTGCACGGTGATGGCGATGGAATACGTGCCACTTAAAATACAAAAAGCATTCAAAATTCTCTTGTGGATTATTAAAACTTAGAGTTATTCAAGACGAACCACTGAGGCAACACCTAGCCGTACACCCTCACGCTCACACCCAGCAAAGTGACCTAACTACCTACTCAATTAACTAAATTACTAATTAATCAAGTAACAAATTTACTACCAATTGTCGGTAAGGAGTTTGGCCACCGGTCGCGGCTGGTTGGTTTTCCCTTTCAACCTCAAGCGTGTCAAATTTATTCCCACCATCACTGAATCCTTAGTAAAGGAAAAGGTAGACTTTGGTGGTCTTACTATAATTTATAGTTCCGTCATGTGTTTCCAAACGACGTTGCCTTTGAATGGATAGAAATATAAGATACTACTAATCTTGATGGTCTTTCCGTCTAAGTAATATAATTAATTCTATAATTTATTGTATTGCGCCTTACTTAGCATGTGTGCTGATGCGTTTGCTAACCTTATGATTTAAAGCGCGTTTATTTCACTTTTTAAATCTGATAGTAATTCAGAACCCACCAACGTCAGACCTATTTCTAGTCTAGGAACCCTGTAAAATATTTCAAAATATTTGAAGCCAATTTGTACACATTTTTACAGTAATGTCTCCTAAACAATTTGGTTTCACTTGGGGTCGTTCTACAACCGTTGCTGGTGTTGAGTTTGTTAAACATATATTTGATGCATAGGAACAGACAAACGATGCTGTTGGTGTTTTATATGACCTCTCCAAGGCATTTGATTAATTTTTATTTTTAGTTTATAATAATGATTTATCTAGCCTCGTGGAGGGTACAGAATGTGAGACAATATCGTTTGCTGATGATACTTTTATTTTTTAAAGTCAAAAAGCGTCAATGTTTCTATGACAATGTGAACAGTGCTATATGTAAGCTAGTAGATTGCTTTGCAGTTAACAACCTATAGAGTAATAAATTAATTGTGTAAAATTTTACATTATCCAATATTAGACAGACAGTCATAAACGAAACGGTCATAGATAGAAACGAAAATTTGGACTTCGTAGATACAGTTTTATTATATAACTTAAGATGCTAAATTGCAATGGAGTCCACGCATAATTAAGTACGATTTAAAAAATACGAAACCTTTAGGACGTAGACACTTCCACATTGGTTTACTTCAGCTATTTTCACAGTTTAGTGACATACGACGTTTGGGATAATGCCGTCGGTGTTAATAGAATCTTTGTTCTGCAAAAACGTGCGATTAGGGCAATTTGGGCCCCAGAGTGTCTTTGAGAGATAAGTTTAAAGGAATTAACATTCTCATACTAGCTTCACAGTACATTTATGTTAAGAAGAATATATAAGTAGTGACGGACAACATCAACACGAGGAACAAAAACAAACTAGCCGTTCTTGTTGGTGTCCTCGTTCTTGACCGTCGTCTTCGCTGAGTCACAGATAAACTGAAGGGGAACACCACATTTTACTTTTGCACCTCGGACGCCGTCGCGAGTGCGTCCGACTGACGAAACCGTGTCGCCGCAGTCGGAGCTGGCGGCGCTGATCGGCGACCGGCGCCTGCGCAGCCTCGCGGCGCTGAACGCGGGCGCCACGCCCGACCCGGAGCGCGCGCTGTTCCGCCTCACGGCCGTGGTGGTGCACGTGGGCGGCCCGCGCAGCGGCCACTTCGCCACGTACCGGCGCGGCAACGGCTTCGAGGCCCGGAGGTGAGCGGCGCGCCGTGTCACTTTCGCGTTGTATGTGTAGTGGTTATTAAATCCGAACCGAACCGTTTTCACTCAAGGTTGGTTGTTCAGGTGGTGGTACACGTCGGACACGCTAGTCCACGAAGTGTCTCTCCAGGAAGTGCTCCGCTGCGCCGCGTACATGTTGTTCTACGAGCGCGCCGCGGCCGACCGCACCCTCACCGCGCACCACTCGCACCAGTCCACGCCGCAGCACTTCTAGGGCCCCCGGCGGGGGCCGCGGCAATGCACCGTTCTACCTACTGTGTGGATGTCTTCGGGCGTCCACTGAGCGTCGTTTACGCGCTGTGCGTTGACGTTTTTGTGGACAGTGCCCACGATCAATCATTAGCTAGTCTAATGTCGACGCCTTCGTAGCTCACTTTGTGTGTCGTTGTGGGTAACTCCCGTTGTAATAAATTCTGAAGCGACACAATATATTCCCAATTCTTCAAATTTTGTGGAAACTGCTCTGCTCTTTCTCGACCGGCGTTATCACATCGAAATTAGTGTTTCTAACCGTGTACTACAAATCACGAAATTGTAAAACGTGCACGCTGTCGTTAGCCATTTCCATGAAAACCTTGTATTAATATGTAAAAAACGAGTGCTGTACTTACGAGTACTTACAAATTTACAAGAGCTATACAATAATAATTAAAAGTAATCAAAATAACATCTATCTGAAATCTGAATGTCTTAGGCATTTTTCGATATCACATTGTAAATATTCTGTGGTTTTTCCGAATTTTTCACTCGTCTACTAGTTTTCGAGGCATTTTTATGTACATTTTGAACTGCATTTATATGTCTATCTTTTAGTACACCTGTTTCTCTGTGCTAACATTTCTTCAGCCGAACCTTAACTTCTGGTGGCAAGTCTCAAAATTAAAAACTGTCAATAAATGTTGAAATCGATTTAACAAACAGGTACTTTCCTTTTAAATACAAAGTAATGTGATAAGTGTCATTTCACGTTCCGGGTTAAAGAGCAGGCCACACGGACGCAGTACGGCGTGAAAAGCGGTCTGGAGACGGACCTGCGGGAAGCGGATGAGTACTGGGGCATTCTACACAGCAGTACCACGCGTAGTCCGCGGCGAGTGTGTCAGATAGTGATCTAGAAAAATTTCAGCACTTATTAGTGTTACGAAAGAAACACTAAGGAAATTTCGGCCAAATTCATATTGAAACTTAATAAAAACACACATAAGAGTTGTAAAAAATGCAGCGTGCAATTCCGGTAAAGGCCCGCTCCCGGACCGCGTCCCGCGTCCCGCCACTGCCGCTCTGTGTGGACGGTTGCATAGAACTGAATCGAATACATACTCTTATAATAATCGCTTCGGTTCGCGTCAGGTTTTCCATAGCGTTGTGCCCCGGCCCGCGCCGCCCCGCCACCCGGTTTCAATGTAGCTATGTGCATAAAAACTCGAAAATTACCAAAATGTACGCTCGGAACGCTCCCGCTACCGCCACCGAGTGGCCAGAGCATTAGAATGTCTTGAATGAATATGTTCCTTCATTTGAAGGAACACCAATAATGTTAACTCGGGAAGCTATAGCTTAGCCACGTTGGTCAAACTTCGAGGATGTTTATGTCTACTTTGTTTTGCAGTTATATAAAACAATTCAATGTAAAATTTCAACATTTATTGTGGCCATGTCTAACTGAACTGATCTAATTGTGTGATACTTACATGTTTCGTTAGAAATATTGCACAAATAAAACCGAATTTGTCCTTAACAATTGTATATACTTTCAAGTCTATGTATTCCAGCGACTTTGTAACGGAGCATTTGCGCTAAATTTCAATCTATTTTATTCTAGGTTTCGCTAGTAAATACTTCTTCGTTTTAGTCTTAGATTGTGCAGTACTTATCTTGCATTTAAACGCTTATACTATTCACTTCACAGATGTATTTTGGTGTTATACTTTTCTCCAGTTATGTAAAGTCGAATTTGGTGGAAACATCCATGGACCTTTTTTCCAGTAATTCATGACCTATAATGTATGCAGCTTGTTTAACATGTTATCGAGAATGCTTAGATATTATTCAATCAGATTGTTTTCAGAAAGGATATTTAGACCGTTGCCACCAGTATTCGACTTTATATTGAGTTATAATGTAACCTAGAATGTAGTCATACACAGAATAAAATCTTTATCATGAATTTGAGTGGACAGAGGGTTGGTTCCAAAATGGAACAATAATAAGTATGCTGTCTGTAAATTGCTTCACAGAATGGTAGGTTACATATGTAACTATGTTCAGCAAAATTGTTTGCATAACAAAATCATAACATTGACTTTGGAAAAGTGTTTGTTTATTTATCTGTATGTCATGAATGAATTAACAATATTGCTTTCAAGTATGACATTTAATTTCTGTTAAATGGTTTATGGACAGTATAATAATATCAAAATTGTTTATAATAGTTGCCATATTTGTATTTGTTATCATACAGCGTGTAATCTTTTTGTAAAAAGGACACTGCAACTGGTTTAAAATCGTTGAAGCTATATTAGTTGTTATTTTAATACAATGATTATGAATTCTCATTGTGTAATACAATAGCTACATTTTTACAACTTCCTATTAGAATGATCTATTACTAGGGCGTAAGGTAGAATATGCCATAATAGAATTATTATGTATTTGAAAGTTATCATTTGTAGTAAATAAAGGTATATATAATTAAAATTGTATTAAATTATGTAAACAGTATACTTCCTTGCTAATATGTCTGTTTACAAAACCTGTTGCAGTAGCCTTAACTACATTGTGAAATCACTGAATTGGTTGAAGGATATCATCAATTTTGTTAAGGTTTAATTTTAATGTTTTTGCATAATGATTAGCTTTATTTGGTTGTGATAATGTTCTTATTTATTGTTGATGATGTGATGGGGTTGATTAAGTAATGGTGACTTCCAGAGGAACACATGTGGCAATGTAGATAGGATGAACTGTTTGTGTTAATTATAACAAATGTTTATAAATAAATTATATTATAAGCATGGAATTTGTTTGGATTACTTACTTTTGTGGTTTCCTTACAGCTGTTTCTAAAATAAATACCAGGTTTTAGATCAGAAACAACTGAATGCACATTTATTAGAAATTTTATTGGCTAATTAAACAATAAGACAATTTGATTATTTATTTTCTTACTGATTACAGACAGGCGAATCATTGGGTTCATATTATGCAATATGTGAAACAGAATTTTAAAAACTTATTATTTTTACCTTCATGTAAACAACAGCTTAACATAAACCATATCACATTAGGTTAGGTATAATACGAGCCCGTGTTATGACATGCTGTCAATAAGTGATGCTCGCATGGTTGACGTGATAGCTGTTGGTTTAGCATCATTCAGTTTGAATACACTCTCAATAACTGAGATCTCTGTTGATGTAGTGTCCATGCCACAGAATGCGCACCAATCATTAACTACCATACCGGCAGCAACCACGTCACTACCCCTGTTCACGGTGCCTGCCACAAGTGGCACCTGTAGTAGTGAGGAGAGCTCGTCTTGATCCTGTATTGTGGTTTTAGGGTGCACGAGCCCTCCGCGATTGCTGAGCGCGGCGTACGAGCCAACAAGGACGTTTCCAGCGATTGTTTGCCGGAACACCTCCACATTCAGCGTGTCTGCTAATATCTCCTCTGTGTCGCGATCGAGGTCAGGGTGCACAAGAGCGACATAGTCGTTGCATGCGATCACGTTGCCAAGCGCGCTGAGGCGCTCCTCCACCCGCTGCACCTTCACATTGTCGGGCAGACTGTTGCGTATGTGTTGTAGCTCTGTGTCTGTTGTAGAGGCGGGCACTAGAAGTCCGTTTTTATTAGCAACCGTCATGCGGCCAATGATGCGGCAGCCGGCGATGCTCACGTGCACCACGGGCACGGTGTCCGATAGCTCCGCTTCGAACACGCTGTAGAAGTTCTCTGAGCCCCCGATGGCGACCAGGCAATAAGCATTTGTCAATTTGCTAAACACCCCCACTTCATTATTATTTTCGAACTGGACGCGGACTGCCATGATTGCTTTGCTTGATCAACTTTTACGTGCAATTTCAAAGTATTTCACAATAAAAATACGACTTCACATGTGTAAAAGAAGACTTTTCGAATTAGAAGGTTGTCAGATCGTGACATTGACATCTGTCATCCATGCAGAGCCATGTTGATTCGCGTTCAACAAAGAAGTTCCGTATTTATCTCGTCAGATATTGCGTTCAAAATATCTACTTGAGATTCCAATTTTGGTTATTTTTTTCGTTTGAATTTTGAAAAACTATTATTGTCAATAAAAAAATGCTATTATTATCAAAATTGTGTCACAACAAAATCATGTCTTTTCCGATTTCTTAAACAATTTAAAATAGCAAAAAAATGACAAAATGTCTCTTAAATAACAATGAAAAATGCGCAAATTTGTGGCGCTGAATTGTTTAGTAGATCATAACGATTCAAGGGCTTTCAGGAGCGATGCAATTCAAAACTTGAGACAGGCGTTGCTTGCTCCCGCTTTGTATAAGCCAGGCATTTTGCAAGCGCTAGTCGGGGCTAACTTCAAGTTTCATAGAACTTGTAGTCTCGCTAATATCATAGAAGTACATAAGCTTACTATCTCTTTTTCAAATCAAAGTTTACGAGAATTGCGTTTTGTATTTGATATTTATTTGTTGCAGGAATGCGATGTGGGTGAGGATCAGACGCTGTTGATGTTCTGGGGCTGTGGAGAAACCGAGAGTAGAGCCACAGTTAGCATGTCCGTGTCTAGCTGTTCGTCCATTCAAATGTCTGTAAGTTGATTAAAAATACCGTAACATTCGTTAGTGAACATTTTGGCCGTGTTATGGTGAATCTACCTTTAGCATGTTACCGTGCCAGACGCTATACCAACTAAGCCACGGAACGAACCAACGGACCTCACAAATTCTTCTATGTGCTTGCGTCGTGTCTTTGTACTTGGTCTTTCAAAAAAAAAGTCTAAAAAGACTAAAAAGTCGTTGAAAAAGTCCGTGGCTTAGTTGGTATAGCGTCTGGCACGGTATGCAAGAAGACGTCGGTTCGAATCCGACCGGAACGAAGGAATTTTTTCTGAGTGTTTTTTCTGAGTGTTCGATCTTTGTATTAATAATTATGACAAACTAGTGGAGTAATTTCACAAAAAATAATTGAATATCAATTCAATAAAAATTTAATTTATAACATTTCTTAACTCAAATTTTTTGTTCCTTTTCGTTTCCTCAATTCTTGTCTTAGAAAAGCAGTGACAATCAAAACACCCTCGCGCACTGCACTCATGGTAGAAACGGCTGGCACAAAAACTCGAAATACGATTTTTGCTTTCAAGTTCTGTTTACACGGAGACGTTCAATATTCAAAGGCGAGGCGATTATCGCTCACGTGGAAGGGCGATAATCGCGATTGTTTAGATGAGGAAAGTTTTTTATATTCTTTCGATAATCGTATCTTCGAGACGAGAAACTCTCTCAATCTAAATGGGCCTTTATTCAGAGTGACGACAGGTGCGGGTGCGTGTAAATCAAATGTACGTAGACGCTCGTTGCGTTCACAGTGTGGCAGCGCGCACCGGCGGACGCGGGCGCGGCTAAATCTATTGGCTCGGTCCGCCCGTACATTTCACAGTGCTTTATCTAGCGTCTGTTTACGATTTTGACGTGTGGAGTGTGAATCTACTCGCTCGTAGCCGCTTCGGCGCTGTGTAAAGGAAGACACCAGCCTGCCCGCACTCGTCGCCGCGCACGCGCTTGTACTCTGAATGAGCCCTTAGATCGTTGCCTATTTCGCCTGAGTATTGATATACATTATTTACACTATATTTTACGTTATTGTCTTAAAGTTTAAATTGGATATTTCCTAACCTAATCTTTTTAGTTTTACCTCAACACATTTACAAACACTTTGTTTTTAATAATATAAAGTTAAGTATGCCGTTTTTAAGTCACAACTCTTTTTTTAGCTAAAAGCTTAGCGGAAAATGCCAATTAAAGTGGTGTTAGCCAACATGCCGTGGATCCATAATTTTTGACGTGAGAGTGTAGTTACCTTCGGATTAGCTAATCAATTAATTCGCCACTCATTGCGAACATGCTAAAGGTAGATTCACCATAACACGGCCAAAATGTTCGATCTTTGTATTAATAATTATAAATGTTATAAAATTAAAAAAAAATACAAAAAAATGTATATTTCTATACAGTGCAATGAACTTAATATTATCAGCAGTTCCAAATTTGGATGATTTTTGCGTCATTTTGATATATCCATAGTCAATACCGAAGTAATCAATGAACTCGAATGGCAATTCTCGCACTCAAAACGGTTAGAACCGATTTGTACGATAATCGTATGAACTTGAAAAAATGTCATACGAGATCGTGTTTAGACAAGTCGAAAACTTGTAAGCAAGAATCTCCTTATCACATAAGTATTTCTCTGTTTAAACAGTCGGGGAGGCGATTAAGTTCTCGTATGACTTAATCGTAGGCGAGATTTTAGTTCTTGCCTGAATGTAAACATTATGATACGATAATCTTATGGCGATTATTGCTTACGATAATCGCGTACGATTTTTCGTCACGAAGCTTGCGATAAACTCTGTCCATCTAAATGGGCCATAAGGCCTAAGACGTTTGCTATTAAGCGCAGGCCACACCGCGAACGAAGCTAAGCTAACTTAGCTTAGTTCACGTAGCCGAGGTGTCTATTCATACTTTGGTACACCCCGAACTAAGCTAACCGAGGTAGCTATACTGGACCGCTCCCGCTAATTCCGATCCCGCTTTGTAACATACGGCGCTCTTTCAAAGTGAGGTTGTTGTGTATCTAATTATGTATACCGTGACGTACCAGACTGGGGGACAGGTACAAGGCGCGCAAGGGCAAAGCACAAATCTGCCACTGCGCGAGCGTGAGCTGCGTTCCATCGCGCAACAAACGGAGATCAGCTGGCGGCCCGTGCCTGGACAATCGTCGCCGGGTGGGTGTTATAAGTCTTATTTTATTTTGAAGCTCCATAGATCTTGTGTTTAGTTCCTATCATGGACCCATACTTTGAGAGGACTACTAAGCTCCATACTACAGATCGTAATGTGAAAAAGGTCTAAATTCCGTCTTATATCCAGATGGCGCTGATCAATAAACTGGAAGTAGTTAATATCATTTATATTAAGTAAATGGCCTTAGATATCAATTAATTACTCTTCAATATTTCGAAGTCAGATTCCGTTTCCTGGTAATTCAACTGCCTCCGTGGTCGAACGGTTACTGTGCTGGCCTGCCACGCAGAGGTTCCGGGTTCAATTCCCGGGCCGGGAGAAATATTTGTATAATATGTGTGGTGTAATTTGTGGTTGTCTATGTGCGTCCGTGGCACCCGCGATACAGAGTTTCCCTGGTACGGGGGCTATGAGTGTGTGCGTGTTTTAATATTATTCAAATATTGTCATGAACTAAATTTTTTTTACAAAATGTAAGAGCGCACTTGACCACCATCTTATCTGATGTAAAGTGACGATGAAGTCGACGATGGAGCATGCACACCTAAATAATGCCTATTCACTCTCGCCTTGAAAAGGTCCAAGTTATAACATTCAGAAATCTATCGCACACTCTCCGTGATAATACTCTCCTGTAAAATACCGACAAGCAGGCAATTTTACGGCGGTGTTCAAGGCTCTGCAGCTTCGACTCCACTAAGTGTGAGGCCAGACGAGCGTAATTTTGTGAGTTGCGCACTTTGCGCTGCATTCGGTTTCATATAAAAGCACGCTTTGTTTCACACGACGACGCAAAATGAGTTACCTGCCGACTCACGGGCGTAATGACGACTGACAAGCAATGCTCTTTGCGACTGACTTTCGGTCGCATCGTGTGTCGGGCTGGCGTGGGTGGAGGTAGGGGTGAGGGAAGGGGTCACTTTGGTATAGGATGCGCATGAATATAGACGTCTCTTGCGAAAGGGTCGTTTTGAGATAACCTCCAAAAATGTGTCCCTTTCAATAACTTTCATGTTATTATATGAATGCTAAGTTTTATTTATTTAATATGATTGCTTGCTTGCTTAGTCTGTGTTACACATAAAAAGACACTACGTCACAGTAATACATAAAAATTAAAAAAGTGGGCCATGTCTCATTCATGGGAGCCGGTTCCACGTCGCCCTAATTTTAATAAAAGAAGAAAAAAATTCAACACTCGTGGAAATCGCAATATTTCTCATCAAGGATAAACTCTTAAGAAGTTCTGCAGAACTTACACGTCGAATACATACCGTAACTTTCCAATTTATTATAAACAAACATGTTTTCTTGGGGACACAAAATGTGTTTCAATTTTTCTTATCATTAGTGTCAATTCAATTAAAAGCCTTCCAATAATAAAAGTTCATACCGCATCACCTTCACCTTTCGCACACGTGAGAAGGGACTCCAGTCGGATTGGAGTGTACACAGTGAAGTAACCTGTGCGTTTCCGTTTTACATTTCAATTTTTTCATGCATTTTTTTTTCAGCGCTAGTAAGTAAATCGTTCTCATTCACGTAAAGCAGTCTCAATAAGTATTAAGTAATAGTCTTATAAACTTTATTGCACGTCAATTAGACAAAGGGAACTTTAAAATAAAAAAAAAAGGTGATTGTAGCGATGATGACAATTATTGTGATGATGATGTGAATGGTAATAATACTGATGATAATGGTGATCATGATGATAATGTTTATGGTGGTGATGATGATATATTCATGTACAACAAAGTTTATATGACATTAACGAAATACTTATTTAGATTTATTAATTAATTTCATATAGATAGATAGATGGTCTTGAGAAGGATTTTGATTCAAGAAGTTATATTAAAATATTTGTTACCTGTTAAATGTTCTTTTGTGAACGATAAAACGTGTGTTGTAATAATAATTTCTCATTACTGCGTCTTTCTCATTTATGTTTATGAGAAAATCATTCGTGTTACTGCAATCTCATTCGTGTGACCTAAAATATCGTTTTTTGTTGTATTTAACTTAAATATTTTTTTTATAATTATTGACATTGCTTGAACTTATTTGTACGTTTAAGACCTTAAAACCAAAAGAAAAAGGGTTTTACAAAAATCATTCTAAAAGTGCCATTGAAATTCGGAAAGTGTCACCCGAAAATGTTCAATACGGAAAAATTTACCACCGATGTTGAACAACGTCCATGTTTATGGAATTTATCACAAAAATCATATAGTGATAAGTTTTTGAAATTTTTTATTAGTCTTGCCTCTGGACTGATGGCTGAATAAAATACGTTCGTCTGGCGCTCCAACCGAATTTCGGTCGAGCGCAATAAAAAATGCAAGTCATAAAATTAAGCTCGTCTGGCCTCACACTAATATCACAGGTGGCATTGTGTGTTACAAACTAATTTACAAATTATCGCTTGCTAATATGGGTAGATGGCGCCAATCCTAAATAAAATTAATAAATACCCGGCACTATCCATAAAAATCTGTACAATAAACGCCATCTAAATTTGTTTGAACGCTAGAAATTAGAGTAGGTAAGTTTGATAAATTGCAGCTTGTCAATGTAAAGCAAATTAGTTATAAAAGTAAAAAATAGGTATCTGGTACTCGTCGCGACATCTAGTGTCACAATATAGGTACTAAATACCCGACCGCGCTGTCTTGTATCACGATTAGCCGTCCTGTGACTTATTGGTCCATGGTTCATATTCCCGTGAAAATACCCTGTATTAAACTATTGGGCATGAGTCTTGACTGGAATTATAGCTTTTGTATGTAGTTTAGCACAACTATCTACCTAGGTAGGTAGTAGGCGATAAACTGAAATTCCGAATATCGTAACATGGTAGTGCGGTGGTCGCCCAGTTGGAGAACGCGAGCTTCTCCAGTGCGAAGTCCACAATTTGAATCTTTGTGGGTTTAACTACTTACAAAATTACATACGTATGACTTGAACTCCTAAATTACGTTTATTTGGAAACGTTTAATAGCTATATCGCTCGGTAATAGTGAAGGAAAACGTCGTTATGAGACCTGCATGGCGAAGAAGGTTCCATAACCCCCTTATTGGGCCGGCGTGACGCACTGTGGTCCACACCTTCGCCTTCAGAGAAGACCCTTGCCCGGCAGATGAATGTATAATAGCATGATCGTAATGAAGATGAGTATAGACTGCAGGGCTAAATTTCTCCTAGGAAATGTAACGAAGTATTCACCTTTTCAAACTGTTATTCTTATGCGTCAGCGAGCTTGTACGAGGCTGAAGGCTGCGCGCATGTGCAGGCAGATTCGCTGACGTTCTCGTCGCCTGCGTCGTCTATGCTGCACCCTGCACCACGGTCCATGTCGATCCTCGGCTCCGTTTGCGCCCTGCTGCTCAGCAAGCAGGTAGGCTGACATTTGCTGATTCAAATTACTAGTTTCCATACGTATCAGATCAACTTTATATAAAAGGTCATGTAATGGGAGCCGTTGAGAGTGATTGTGGTATGTGCCGCAGGGCTCATCAGTAGCCCCGAAGGAGGTGCCGAGTTACACGGGCACGGGCGGCGGGGGCGCGGTCAGCCCTGGAACGGACAACATCTGCCGAATATGCTTCGGCGGCGAATCAGCGGAGCGGCTGGTGCGCCCTTGTTCCTGCCGCGGCACCATAGCTGCTGTTCATCGCTCTTGCCTTGAGCGCTGGCTACTGCAAGCCGCCACATCCTACTGCGAGCTATGCCGTCACCATTATGTCGTCACTAGAAGTCACAAGTACTTGCCAGTTTATTCCTTTCCTCTTTGCCGTTACTTTAGATATCGTCAGCTACATTGCATACAGGTGTGTAAGAAAGCGACGTATTGGCTTGACAGAGTTATCAGCGAGATTAAAATAAATTATTAAAAAACTCATCTAAGTTAAAACTGAAAGAGAAAAACAGGCCACCACACGTAGTACCAACACATATGTAAACTCATGTTTCTTGCTCTCTTCTTAAATTATTATTACAATGTAACTACGAGTATACCTATATAAATACTATCCGCAATGAAGTTAGGACGATATGGCATGTGATTTTTATGTAAGTGTTACTTTAGTGTAGAAGTGGTTATTTTAGGATGTAGTCATTTCTCATTGTGGTCCTAAACCGCCGAAAGGAACACGTGATTCAAATAGTATGTCAAATTGTACTCTGAGTAATAAGTACTTAGGAAAATTTATATAATAATAATCATACAGTACCTAATTAAAATTTAGCTAAATGAGACTTTAGTTTTTGCCACAAATATCATGAATGTATTACATTTAGTTATTTTAATCTTGTAAATAAGAAAAAATCCAATTAACAAATTAATATGCATTAAAAATTATAATTCAGTCCTATTTTGGTTGCACTTAAGTTTTGAAGTCGTGATTTGTTATGGCTATTTAACTTATTGTGTAGAGTCAGTGGCAAATATGTATGTATTATTTTAATGAAGTGTTATTAAATAGGTATAGCTAAGCAGCAAAACATGATGCCATATAGCTTGTAGTTGAAAACTGAGTTGGTTGGTTACATCCTGTACAAGGAAGTTGTAATGTGTCAATTTTTTCCAAAAATTCGGTCGATCATTACTCATTGTAAATAAAGTTTTATTCTAAATTTCTTACAAAATTTTTTAAGTGTTTGGAATTACTTGAAATGCAAATATATTTTCATATTTAAAGCCGTGAATAAAATACAGACTTCTTTGTCAATAACAGAAATAAATTGTTAGTTTAAATAGGTAATTGTATTCGGATGGACAATTTACATTTACAATTCATGTACCCAAGCAGCAATCGTAGCAATACTTTAGTCGATTGCGCTGTATTCTCGCGTTTGAAATACGTTTATATTATTTCCTTTAGTGCCTACGTCACGGTTTAGAGCTTCATTAAAACAGACACGACAATTTATTTCACCTCACAACAAGTACCTTTCAAGCTGTTCAACAGTAGCCGATGGATTTTCCCCACCTCATAGAGCCTTTGAACTTTGTAAACGCCTTCATAAATTTCGCAATGTCAGTACCTATAGATACGGGTAGGCGAGTGTTAGTTTAGTTGTTCATGTTCTAGTAAAATCGGAAAGTTTCAAAAATAAAAAAGAAAGATATAAGACTTTTTTTGACGGATGCGTTCTATTGGTGGTTCTCTTTCAGGGAATACAGAGAGATCGATCGGGAATATTCACGAACAGTTTGAGATTTGAATTTTTGTCAGCACTTTAAATATTTTTCTTGACTTGCGATTATGTCGAGCTACGCATTTGTCATGAATTTTCATTTTACTTCTTTTATCACAAATTATCTTGTTCTTTATTAGTGAAACGCCTATTTTCGTCGGGGCTTGTCAGGCATATCCCACCGTGGTAGGCAGAAACGTACCTTCTTCGCGTCCTCGCACCGGCCTCTTGCGAGTACGTCGTAACTCGGTTTCATAAGCGTTCTGTGAATACGTTCCCGCGAGATTTTTTCGGGGGAAAGAACGACGCGGGCGACTCGTGTCCAGAACGTCGCCGGCGTTCGGCACGGGGATGCTAGAAGGCTGTTAGCGCAAGCAGGTGGTCGTGGCTGATGTCGGTGTGCGCGTGGGCGATGTCGGGGCGCGGGCGCGCGCTGGCGGCGGACGCGTGGCGCGGGCTGGCGCTGGGCGCGGCGTCGGTGCTGGGCACGGCGCGCGCGCTGCACGCCTGCGACGTCGTGCTGCAGGCGGGCGCGCGCAGGGGCGGCGGCGCCGCGCTGGCCGCCAACCTCTTCTCCTCGCTGCTCATCGGCATCATCGGTGAGAGGCGAGATCGCCGCGTCGCGCGTGCACTTTATCGCGACTTTGACATCGATTGACACACTGTGCGTCGCCCGCAGGAGCGCTCAACGGGCTGCTGACCACTTGGATGCTGCTGAAGATACAGGAGCATCAGCTGTCGTGGCAGGCGTGGCGCGACAGCACCGTGCACGTGCACGTGACGCTCGACGACGAGCACACGCCGCGCGACTCCGACGTGACCGTCGTGGCGGACACCTCGTCGCCTTCGACGCGGCTGCCGCCGGCCGCGCCCACCGCCGACCGCAGCACCAACGTCGTGGACCCCTTCATGATCGCCCTTCCGTTTTCGCTCGCCGACCCCTGATCGGATAGCGCCCGACCGTGTCGCCGTCGGCCGGCGTTGCGCTGGCACCGGCGGGAACGATCTAGTCATACTCAGCGGTATCTACGCGCGGCGGAAACGTTGACATCTTGCGTGAACAAAAAAATGCAAACGCTTAGAAAGGAAATTGCCACTAATTTAAAAAATTCGAATTATCTGCCAGATAAAAATTGTATAAAATGGGTACTGCAATTGCAAACGGGGTTCTAAAAAGAGACGAGTAAACCCGAGATGTCGTACACGTTCGTGTTGCTTTTGGGCGCGACGATCGCGTGCTGCGCGCTGCTCGCGGCCGCGGTGGTCGCGCGGCGCCTCGTCGCGCACGCGCCCGCCTGACCCCGCAATTAAGACTTAGTGCAATAAAGACGAGTGAAACGCCACCAACTTGTTAATCATATTTATTTTCAATTATATCCATATAAATAATGTTTTCGTAAAATAATTATAATATCAAATTCATAAAATCAGTAAGCCGCTGTTAATGTCAAGTTGGATAAAACGATAGCTCGTGTTAAAGGTCGGCAGGGCGTCCGAGCGCGGGCGTCGCGGCCGGCGCCGGCGCAGCGGGGATTCCACTTTCTTATGTGGACGAATAAGTCGAAGCGATCCCCGCGGCCGGCGCGCGCGGCTCGGGCGCCCGCAGCGAAACGCATAACCTACAGACTACGACCTACAAGTAACCGCTCGTATTAGTAACTTACAGCTAATATAAAAAAATCACATACATCTTGAGATTACAATAAATAGGAGGAGTGTATCGAGACAGCGAGTGGAGAAACAACGAGTGGGCAGACGCGGCCTCCGCGCGCCGACAACAACAATAACAACATACGCTCTTTGGACTAAACTATCCGTACCTACAGACTCACCACAATCTTATACATTTTGTGACTATAACCGTTCGACTACTTCTAGCGTCAGCCTAAACTATCGAGGCCACTGTTTTCCCGGATGCAAACTTTCTTTCGCAAGGAACGAACAGATTCTTTGGCAACCAAGTTTGCGAGCGACAAAACAGTGCGTTTCGGTGTACAAGACACGCATTGCTGAGTGGCGCGGATGGCTCGGATCAAGGCTGGTCCTTGAAGTGGCGATGAATGGCCTGCACGTAAGTGAAGACGCACTTCCAGTCGGGCTTGCGCATCGCCACCATGTCGTCGACGTCCAGCAAAGGATAGATGCCCGCCTTCTCACTGGAACATTCATGAAGGCGAATTCAACATTTCCATCACATATTATCATCATCCTGCCTGCCTAAGCAGGATTGAGGAGGATTGCCTTAGGAAAGCCGGGGGTTACTCACTCGGCAATTTTGAAGGCGAGCGTGAAGTTGTGTCGGCGTTTGTCAGGAGTCAGCTTGGAGTAGTCGAACGCGTCTGGCAGGAAGTGGTGCACCAGCGCGCAGAATGCCAGCCCGTCCGCCCACGACGTTGAGAAGTTCTCCAACTTCACATTCTATTCACACCAACAAACATTAGTAAATACGAGATAAATAGTGTATACGGAATAATTGACCTATACTAATTGGGAGAGCATTTATGTTGAAATATAAAAATGGTCTAACTTTTAGATTTAAAATAGAGGACCTGTGATTACTCCTAGTTGAAGAAAGAATGCTCTCAGCAATGCTCTTCGAGGCCGTTGCTTACTTACATCCCTACTGCATCGCCGACTATAATGCCACGGTTCTAAACGAAACATTCAAAAGTGGATTTCAGTCCAATATTTATGGTCGAAGGTTTTAGGTAATAGCATCTTATAGTGAATTTAAAAGACAAAGTAACTTATTGGATGAAAACAAATCAAGGCGCGCTGTTGCCGCGCTGCGCTACAAAATTGCACTCTACGGAACAAGATATATGTATAATTCGCCTTTTAACGTTTTATTTTGCATCGAGGAGCATATCCGAGCGGAGACTACTACTATTTCAAAAATAATTTTCTGTCTTTATACGTTTTGAAAACGATCTAGTGCAAAAGTAGACACAATCCTGAAAACAATTGGTTACAAGTGAAAGCGCGGATAAAATGTTCATCGTGTAACCATCCATCTACTATTTTACGCGATAACAAACTACTTTTCCCACTATTTAGATTTATAGATAAACATGTACAGTCATATACATGAGATACCTGACCCTCTAGCATGCCCGAACCGACCTTTTGGTTCTGAGAGCCATCTTACGTGCTGAAAAAAGAACTTTATTGTGTAAGCAATATAGTGGAGTGTTGCTTGAAGATGATCAACATATTTTTAAAACCAATCCTAAATTTCGTCATTTAACATCCGAGTAAATTGGTCGAGCGGCTTGTATGGACTGCCAGTTACAATACCCGTGGTTCGATTCCACGAGCACTATTTTGTTTTAACGTTTTTTTAACAACATTATTTCACTTTTTAATGTTAATGTTGACAAATCACAATATTTATAGAAATAGCCTAAGGTGTGTGGGTAGATATTGTTAATAAAGTGTAGGGTGGGTATGAATTGATTAACAAATCACGAAATCGCTCTGCAGTTTGCATACGATCGTGTCTTCTGTGATTACGCATTGTTTCATGTTTCGTTCCGATTTGTCTATTCAGTTTTAATTACTTTCAAAGTATTCTTTCTTGTTTTAACATGCCGCACTTAACGGAATTATTAAAATTAGAAATTATAATAAATATTAGAACAGGATGTGCCAATCAAAGTAAGTAGACTCATCATATTTTTCACAGTGCTGCAGGTGCATCCTTCATTATCCCACGGATGTTATAAAACATGTTTAACGAAACGTTAAATTTAAATCTTTAAATCTTGCATTAGATGAAATTCGAAACTACAATTATGTGGGCCTATTATACAGTATTATAAATTGCTTGTTCACAGAGAAACACTGTCAAGCTATGGATCACGCCACAGAGCTGGAAATGTGCAGCGTAATCCGGGGCCAGCACCGGTAATGTTTACTTCTGCATCTAGTCGTCATCTAGATATCGTCAATCGCCATATTGAAGATCCCTTACCCACTACAAAATCAACTGCTCAAATTCATGAAATAAGGACCAGGACACATGGACACCACAAGATCAGAAGGATCTTGTGGTGTCCATGTGTCCACGTGGGAGTCAATGCGTGGTGAACGTTTATGCTGGTCACAGGCATGAAAGACCGTTTACAGCAAGTGATCGATTTTGAAGGTTTTCCTTTGCAGTATTGTTATAAGTCAGCGCTAGGCCAAAATAATGTAAAGTGTGAATGATGTTATTGTTATTTTTGTAACATGTCTATTCACTGCATAAGGTTATAATTTTGTAAAAGTATAGCCTGTAAAACTATAGTTCGTTCAATTCATTTTGCATAAAAGATTGCGTATATAACATTTTCAAATAAGATTTTAACATGTTATTCAAATGAATATTACTGGAAAAAGTGGTGAGATATCAAGTTGAAATTTTCAAATATGAATACGTAAGGTATTCCATTAATTTAATGATTGTAAGAGTTTTAACCGAACCGGTTTATTTACTTTTCATGAAAAATGTATTGACATTAGCTATATCTACTTTATGTAATAAAATTAGTTTTCTAACGTTTTGTCACAATCGATATAATTATGAGTTTAAAAAATACAGTAGTTACTGATACAGGCTGTAAGTATTTAAAATTTTTATAATTAAATGTTTACTAATTATAAATTAAAAGAAAAAATATTTGTTGAATTACTCAACACGGTTACTTTTATTTCATTCCCCTAATGTTTGTGGGAGATGGTTCTTGAGAATCTAACATTCTTAGACATTCCTTACACCTATCCAAAGGAAAAAAAACAAAAAAAAAGTTATGTTTAATGAGACTCGAACCATGCTTGCCTCAACTTGCAAAGCAATTCTTATACCGCTAGGCCACGACATCTTTGCTATAGCTGGTTGAAATTAGTATTCTGTATTTAATTAAGAACTATACGTTAAAGATCTAATTGGCTTCAAAATTTTCTACAATGTCATTCATTAATGAGACGGCCTTTAATGTTATTAAACTTACCAGGCTTACCAGACACTGGGCTTTGTGATCCGTGCTACTAAGGCTCTCAAGAAACCATATAGCTTTATCCATCTTTATAGCTCATTGGTAAGAAGCGTTTTGGAGTATGGTACAGCGATTTGGTCACCTTACTACCATGTACATTCCAACAGAATTGAGGGTGTGCAGAGGATGGCTCTTAAATCTCTCTTTTATAGATTGGGTCATAGTCGTCGTCAGATGCCTGCCTACGAAACCAGATTATCCCAATGTAATCTGGTATCACTAAGTGTCCGTCGAACAATGCATGATTTAATATATCTCCATAAAATCTTACACTCTCACCTTGACTCTGCTAACTTATTGTCTAGTATCAATATTAACATTAGATGTAACCTTCGGTGTCCTCGGGCTTTTGTCCTAAATGTTTTTAAAAATAACACGTCATTTTACAATCCCATAACAAGAATGTGCCGCACCTATAATGACTTAATTAAGGATAACATACAGTTAGATATATTTAATTCTAAGTGTCATATATTTAAAAAGTCTGTTGCGGGTGTCCTCAAACAGTCTAGTTGAAGTCTCGCAATTTTATTTTAACACTTTTTCTCTATGGTCTTTTCTTTTGCTCTATTTGTACCAACACAAAATTTGTAATTTATAATTAATTGACAGAAACTTTCTAAACATGCTGTACGTACACGCTCCTGGTTGGCATTCTGGTCCAAATATAGTTTTAAGCAAATTTATTTGTTAAATCTTTCTTGAATGTCGACTGTTGTGTTCGTCTAATAAATAAATAAATAAAGGCGGCCAAAATAAATTTTACCTGTGAGCCCACAGGTAAAGATTAAGTTTGTTTAATAGTTTTCACCACATTTTTGTGCTCAGAACCAGTGAGCACAAGTATACTAATATCATCAGATCAGGTATCTTGTGTATATGACTGTACTTAGATGGACGAACTAAATTACCTACTCGTATACCAATTTCCTGGTTTAAGTATCTATAAACCATAATAATTCAATAACGTCACAAACAAACAACACAAACCATGCACTACCTACACATTTTTCATCTCTCGAGTTTATTCACACAATATAATACCTTCGGAGAGTACATGCTGGTATTTGTATCGGGCATAATAAGTTAGGTAGGTGGTTGATCTGTGTTTTAGGTAATCGAAATCAATGTGTAAAGTTTTCACACGTAGCGGATTAGAATTAAATTAAGTAGAGATTTGTTATGTATATCTTGTATTCAGGGGACTAGAATGTGTTCGAAACCAAAGCTATATGATTTGGTCGTGATATCACATGGTGGATGGCGGAGTATATACCTATATATTTTGATGTGATGTATCTCGCATATAAATATAATAATATGTACACGTATAGCGCAGCCATGATGAAGCGACTCAAGCGGGGGTGAGGGTGAAGGATGTGAGTGGCGTGACGTCAGCGACGGTTAATAGGCGGGTGCTCGCGCGCAGCGCCACATGCTGCAGCATCGACAACGCGGATCATACCTCTCATACCTCCGCACGCCACTAAGGCTTAAAGTAACGTATCGCTCTCAAATCACAACTAATAACAATAGTGCGGGTAGATAACTTGTTACCTTTATTCTAGAAATAGCTGTGACATGAGATGATATTGACATTACACCATAAATATACCCAGTGCGTTTGTGTGCAGTACATCCTTTGGAAACTGCTGGAAGATAACACGTTATTGTGTCGTAGACGACAGAGTGCGAATTGTCAGAGTGCTCGCAGTGGGACTATCGACGGTGAATGAGGCCAGAGTGACGCGGGGGTGCGGGTTGGGGGCGGGTGGGTACCTCGTAGTCCCGGGTCTTGTCGCGACACCACTGCAGCAACCGCTCTTTAATAGTGAGCGCGCTGGCTTGCAGCGCCGGGTCCGTGAACTTGAAGTACGGCGCCTTCGCCGGAGAGCCCGGGCTCTGCGGGCTCTTGGGCGAGCTACAACGGGGCACCAGCTCGTTAATTCTCCCACTCAGTGACGCGGCCACTCGCCGTACTCACTTCCACTACGCGGGTTTAGTTAGTTTATATATATTGTTTTTAGACGCAAAATTAGTCGTGCTCTGTCACATACGAGTGCTTAATTCAACGCCTGTGCGAGTTATGGGCGTGGACGGCGCTGGTTATTTACAAGAATTAAAATGAACTAGTGCTATCCGCGAGTAAACGAGACTGTTATGCGACTGCGTGCGGTCGCACGGTCGCATTCTTGACGTCACAAACTATTATGTTTGGTGGAAGGCAGAGACCGCGCGGAGCGCTGAGCAGCGGGGCAGCGCTCTGCGGGACCTCACCCCACTCGCCGTACTCTCATAAATGTAATAAAATAATAAAAATGAAGCAGCGGATGTACATGTTATATATGCGTATATATGTATAACTTGTATATTTACTTGTGTATTTCCTTATTCGCATCCACTGTTATGGCTGCCAAAAAATAAATATATCGTATTAATGTACTATATGAAGCCACTGATACCTAAACATTCTGCTAATATGGTCTAAATGCATAATATAGGTATGAGTAGTCGCGGCTGTGGTTGTGTGTACGTGCGCGATGCTTTGGTCTGAGAGGAAATGTAGTCGGGTGGCCCGCAGCGTGGAGAGGGATACTCACTTGGGGGTGTTGGTGGAGTTCTGTTTCTCGAGCTGGCGGAACTTGGCGAACGGCGACACTGGCTTCGGTGCGCCGCGCGTCATGCTCTCGATTACTGCGCAAGGGACAATTGTATATTGGACTTAGTTACACCTCATTAATTCGTCGTTCCGTATTAGGTAAACCTCATTATCTTAGTTAAAATAAACGCTCTGTAGTTAGACAAATTGTGAACACAAACCTTTAGAAGTTTTAGTGCTGGTGCTACTGCTAACGGTTTTTTCGGACGAGTTCCTCCTCACGCTCGATGTCACAGTCACTTCCTCTTCCACTGCAAAGAGAACGCGAGTTGACAGCTTCGTCGAAACATGGGCCACAATAAAGACATTTAAACTCGGAACACATCGGAAAACACAGCAAGACATAACAACGATGGGCACTTAGAAGCTATTAGTCAAAATATAACACGGTTACGGGGCTCGTGAAATAATGAAAGTTATCTGAATGTACACGGCGCGCCGGGGTGAGGGGCGGGTGTGGGTGGGGTCGGGGTACATGCGCGGGGCGGACGGGGCGACACAAGCGCTACAGGCAGCCCACACACACACGACTCACACGCGTCTCGCTCGTCTCCGCCTAACTAGTGGAATGTAGCGGCCTAGGCCAGCCCCGACACCAGGTCCTCGAAGGCGTCGTCAATGTTGCTCTCGTCCAGGAACTGCAGCTCGGACACCGTGGGCATGGTGCGGCTGCGGCCCAACGCGAATCCGCCCTGCGCGGGCGCCGACCGCGCCGCGCGCGCTTTGACGGTCGCCGCGTGCGACTTGGTCGCCGTCGCCGTCGCCGCCGCGACGCCGCCCTGACTCTGACCGTTCGACCCGGCGAAGTAAGCCTCGACGGTCCGTTTCTTTTCGCCGATTTGTTCGCGCCCTATTCCGCCCTCGTACAGCTTGGGGACCGCCAGGAGGTGCAGGGACTTGGCCCGCGAGACGACCCGCCGCGGGGAGGGCGCCCTGGGCGCGGGCGCGGGCTGCGCCAGCTGGTGCCACGAGCCGGAGCGCGACAGCGGGCTGGAGCCCAGCGACGCCGACTCCGACGCCAGCGAGTCGCGGGACGCGGCGAGCGGGCTGCGGGAACACGCGGTGCTGGGGGGGGCGTGCGCGTGCGGCGAGGGGGAGTGGCCGTTCTGGAGGGGGGGCGCGGGTACCTGCGCGCGCGAGTCGCGCCGGCGCTCGGGCGTCCGCGGGGCGGCCTTGTCGAGGGCGCCGCGCAGGCAGTCGGCGGCCGGGCGGCGCGCGTCGTCGCTGCGCGTGCGCACGCCCGCCGTGATGGTGGCGGCGCCGCGCACCGGCCCGCGCATCACGCGCGTCTCTACGCGCCCGTGCTCCGTCGCCGGCTCGCCGTCTTGCGCGTGACCGGCGTCGCCGTTTATCAGATGGGGGGCCGCTTGCGCGTAGCCCGTCGCTTTGGCCTTGGGCGCGTAAGCCCGAGCGGGTCGGTCGGCCGCCGTCGGCGAGGCGACGCGTCCGTAGGGGCCGGTCTCGTTCATGACGACGTCGGGCAGGTAGTCTACCTTGTGCGCGCGCGCCTTCTCGATGTCGGGCGTTTGGTGCAGCGGCACGAACGTCGACACTAGGTTTGCGGGGGTGTAGTCGGTGACGGTGTAGGGCTGGGGGGGTGCGGGCGCCTTCTGCCGGTGTGCTGTGGCGTCGCGACGGTTCTTTTCGCGAATCTGTTTCTCGTAAAATTCTATTTGCAGCCTCTGGGCGTCTATCTTTTGCGAGTCCAAAGACGGTTTCGAGGAATTGTACGGCGGCGAAGGCGGAACGCAAGTCGGAGGGTGCCGGTAGGCTTGTGTCGGGGGATCGTACGCGGGCCTCGGCGCGTCGAACTTCTTGACGAGCTCGGGAGCCGCGAGGTCGCTTTGGCTGGGGATGGACTTGACGGGGAACCCGGAGTTCAGTGGAGGCGCGTAAGTTTGTTGGGGAACGAACGTCATCGACGGGGGAGGACCCGAATTGAACTTGGGTGGATTCGAAGGAGGCGGCGCGACTCGATTGTCCGCTCTGTTTTCAAATTTGGAAGCGAGGCCTGCGGTTCGTCGTAGCCTGTCGGCTTCGGGAGCGTTCCAGGTCGCAGCGGGCGGGCTGGTGGCGTTTAGAAAAGAGTCGGGTGGGTACGCAGGAGGGAGCTCGACAGCGGGGGAAGTCGGGTAGCTGACGGACGGCGGACTCCAAACGTGCGCGGGTGCGTTCGTCGGCGAAGTAATTTTTTTGAGCGGTTTGAACGCCGACATCGGCGCGTGCGAGAATTGGTTCACCGGGATCGGTTTCGCCGCGAACGGTTTAACAACGGCAGG